TTCTTCAACATGGTATCAGAGCTCTAGGGTTTCTTTGCCAAAATTCTGCCACTGTACAGCCTTCATTGCTGTTAGTTTTCTCCAGTTTTTCAAAGCCTTAATTGCTGTAATTTTTCCACTCTTTTTTTTTTTTTTTTGGTTTTTAAGCCTTTTGTTCCTTCACTATTTCTACAATCGAAACTTCCATCTCAGAGGAAGTAAATTCTATCCAAAAACCTGACGATTTACAAAACATTAGGGCTTCCTATCGACTCAATGAAAAAAACTATCTGAAGTGGTCTAGATTCATTTATACATACCTAAAGGGTAAAGGTAGACTTAGCCATATCACAGAAAAGGGACCAGAACCAAAAAAGAAAGACCAACATTTGAAGCATGGGATGAAGAGGATTCAATGATTATGTCATGGCTTTGGGACTCGATGGATCCTACCATCAGTTACACCTGCATGTTTCTTGCTTCTGCAAAGGAGATTAGGGAGTTTATCCGACGTACCTATTCAAAGGATCATGATGCGGTCAGAATTTATGAGGTAAAAATCAACACTGTGGCAACAAAATAGAGAGAGAAAATTCTTACAAAATATGCCAATCTTCTACAGAATTTATGGCAGGAACTGGATCATTATCAAGTATTTGAGATGAAGTGTGCGGAGGATGCTGCAATCCTAAAGAATTTTATTGAGAAAGATCGCGTGTATGATTTTTTGGCTGGTTTGAACTCAAAATTTGACCAAGTAAGAGTCCAAATTATTGGCAAAGAAGAGATGACATCATTGGAAGAGACAATCTCACTGATTAGAGCCGAGGAGAGTAGAAGAAACATCATGCTCGAAGTTCCAACAACAAAAGGGTCTGCACTAGCAACAAAATGAGATCAACAGGTGCGAGGGAGGACTGACAAAATCCTCAGTTGAAGGATAACAGAGACAACATGTTGTGTACATATTGCAAGAAGCCGAGACATACCAAAGAAAGATGTTGGGAATTAAATGGTAAACCACCACGTCATGAGTGGGGAAACTATGGAGGGCAACTAAGGTTCCAGCAAAGATCTCAACCTCAAGCTCACTCGACAGAACAAGTCAATAAGGAAGTAAAGGTGGATAATGGCAGATTCAAACCGTAAGGAGATAGAAAAACTGATAAGCTTATTACGTTCCTTTGAAAAACCATCCGGGGCTTATTCATTGGCTCTCTCAGGTAAGTCTTCATTCTCCACTTGCATGTATGTCTCAGATACAACCTATACCAATTCATGGATAATTGATTCCAAAGCCATAGGCCACATGACTCATTCATCATGGTTTTTCAATACCTATAACCCCTGCTTTAGTAATAGGAAGATCATAGTGGCAAATGGATCCTTGGCTACTGTTGCAAGTGTAGGAAACATCATGGGTACACCTACTCTCTCTCTTAAAAATATACTCCATGTGTCAAAATTATCAACCGTGTGTCAATCAAAAAACTTACTTAGGATCTTAAATGCTTTGCAATTTTTTCTCCTTCTTACTGTGTTTTGTAGGACCTCGAGGAGGAAGATTGGACTTGCTAAGGAAAGGAATAGCCTCTATTACCTTGATTCTTCTCAGAGTATTATGAATAATTTGTCCATGTCTTTGTTTAGTTCTTCCAATAAAGAGACCATTTGGCTCTATCACCTTCGTCTTGGTCATCCTATGTTTAGAGTCCATAAATTCATGCTTCCTAGCTTGTTCAAAGGATTAGACATTTCAGATTTTCATTATGAAATTTGCGAGTTGGCAAAACACACTCGTGTATCTTTTCCTATCACTAATAAAAGAAGTTCTAAACCTTTTTATTTGATTCATAGTGACATATGGGGACCTTCTCCTGTTTCAAATATCTCTGATGCTAGATGGTTTGTTACCTCGATAGATGATTATACTCAGGTTACTTGGCTTTACTTAAACAGAAATCTGATATTAGCATTGTTATCCCTACTTTTCTTTCTATGATTCACAATCAATTTGGGGTCAAAATTAAGAATTTTAGGTCAGACAATGCACGGGATTACTTCAACTACACAATGACTCCGTACTTTCAACAACAGGGGATTATTCATGACTCTTTTTGTGTTGACACACCCCAACAAAACGGGGTGGCTGAACACAAAAGTAGGCACTTACTCAATGTGGCTAGGGCCTTACTTTTTCAAGAAAATGTTCCAAAATCTTATTAGGGGGAGGCCGTCCTCATAGCCACTCATATGATCAATAGATTGCCCTCTCGAGTTTTGTCCCATAAAACTCCCATGGAGGTCCTCAATACCTTGTATCCAAAGTTTCAAAGTTCTAATAGACTCATTCCTAGGGTGTTTGGTTGCCCAACTTTTTTTCATATTCAAAGTCATCAAAGAGGAAAGTTAGATCCCTGAGCACACAACTGTGTTTTCCTTGGTTATTCTTCTACACAAAAAGGCTACAAGTGTTATAATCCTCTTATCAGAAAATTTTATGTTTCAACTGATGTCACTTTCATAGAGCACCAGCCATACTTCAAAAAGTCCTATCTTCAGGGGGAGACTACATCACTACTAAAAGATAGTACTTTTGATAGTACTTGTACTCTTGATCTCCCTAGTCATCAAGTAGAGTCAGTCCCATTTCCTATTCCTGGTTCTCCATTAGAGTCTCCTCCCTATTCAAATCAGAGTCCATCATCAATTCCTAATCCTGCAAAATCTAATCCGAATCCAACCCAGGTTTCAAAAACTATATCTTCTCAAGTTCCAAATCATGTTATTCATAATGATCCGAGATTTTCACAGGTACATATTAGGACTTTTCTAGACCTACAACAAGTTCAAGAATCCAATCTGGTCTCTGACAGGAACCCCATGATAAGATTTGATCCAACCCTAAGCACACAATTAGTAGAACCACTCAGTTACCTTCCCATGGCTATCAAAAAAGGCAATAGAGAATACACCAAAAGCCCCATGTACCCATTGTCTCACTATCTCACTTAAAAATCTATCACCAAACCATAGAAAATTCATTACCAGCCTCAACGCCATTTTTATCCCCACTACCATACTGAGGCATTGTCAAAAAGAGAATGGGGAAATGCCATGAAAGAGGAGATGGTTGCTCTAGAAAAGAATCAAACATGGGAGATTGTGGATAGACCAAAGGGGAAAAACATAGTTGGTTGTAAGTGGATTTTTACACCTAAGTATAAGACTGATGGATCACATGAAAGGTATAAAGCAAGGTTGATGGCTAAGGGATATACTCAAACTTATGGGGTAGACTATCAGGAGACATTTTCACTTGTGACAAAAATGAACACTGTTAGGATTCTGCTATCCCTAGCCGCACATTTTGATTGACAGTTGTTACAATACGATGTGAAGAATGCATTTCTTCATGGAGACTTAGATGAAGAAATTTACATGGATGTTCCTCTAGGATTTGAAGAAGAAACAAGGAATAAAGTTTGCAAGTTGAAGAAGGCCCTTTATGGACTAAAACAATCACCAAGAGCATGGTTTGAAAGGTTTACTAAAGTTATGAAAGCTTATGGATACCAACAAAGTCAGGGTGATCATACTCTTTTCATAAAACCTCGTCTGCAGGGGGAGTGACGTCACTTCTAGTGTATGTAGATGACATCATCGTCACTGGGAATGATGAAAAGGAAAAACTAGAATTGAAACAATGACTGATCAAGGAATTCAAGATTTCAAGATAAAGGAGCTTGGGAGATTGAAGTACTTCCTAAGTATTGAGGTAGCATACTCCAGAAAGGGGATTTTCATATCCCAGCAAAAATATGTGGTTGATTTATTAAAGGAGACAGGTAAAATTGGATGTAAGCCAATATCTACACCAATTGAAACTAATCAAAAACTTGGAGAAGCCAAAGAAGAACCTTTTTTGGGTAGAAAAATGTATCAGAGGCTAGTAGGGAGGCTCATCTACCTTGCACATACTCAACCAGACATAGCATACTCTGTAAGTGTAATCAATCAGTTCATACATGATCCGAGGGAGTCACATCTACAAGTCGCTTATAGAGTGTTACAGTATTTGAAAGGAAATCCAGGAAAAGGAATCATGTTCAAAAGACAAATGAATCTTGCCCTTGAAGTACACTGATGCAGATTATGGAGGATCTACAGTGGATAGACAATCAACTACTAGGTACTATACGTTCCCTAAGTCACATCTACAAGTTGCTTATAGAGTGTTGCAGTATTTGGTAGGAAATCTAGGAAAAGGAATCCTGTTCAAAAGACAAATGAATCTTGCCCTTGAAGTCTACACTGATGCAGATTATGGAGGATCTACAGTGGATAGACGATCAACTACCAGGTACTATATGTTCCTTGAAGGTAATCTTATAACATGGAGTAAAAAACAGAATATTGGGGCTAGATCATCTACCTACTCAGAATTCAGAGCAATTGCTCAAGGTTTGTGTGAGATGTTGTGGTTGAAGATTATCCTAAACGACTTGAGAGTCAAGTGGGAAGATCCTATGAAACTCTACTATGATAACAAATCTGCTATCAACATTGCTAATAATCCTATACAAAATGATAGGACTAAACATATTGAGATTGACAAGCATTTTATCAAAGAGAAGTTGGAGGAGGGATTAGTATGCTTATCTTATGTTCCAATAGGATACCAACTCACAGATGTTCTTACCAAAGGGTTGAACGGCTCCAATTTTCATGATAATATTTCCAAGCTGGGAATGGAAGATATCTATTCCTCGACTTGAGCTATAAATATTATTATTATCGGAGAGATATTAGAGGTGTTAATGATATCCCTTAATTTGAGGGATTTTAGTTAAGATTTTCTCTATTCCTAGATTAGGTAGTTTCCTATTCTGTCTCTAGGACTTATTGTATATATTCTGATGCATTGTAACCTAAATAAGGTGAGAAATATAGAATTTTTTCCTCTCAATTTTCTTCAACAATTCATGTAATAGAAACTTCAACCTGTCCCACATAATGCACTAAACCTTCTTGGTTGCAGCCTGTGGTTTTACATAAATTATTTTCGATGTATTACCAACAAGATGAAGTTATGAGAGAAATAAAAAAACAAAACTTTCACATCTATCAAATTTGTTAGACTCCAATTGAAATTAAACATCCTTCTGCCCATTTATCGATCATCTTTGACGTCCGATCAAGACAATGATAATCATTTTGTAATTGCAGGATCATGCCTCATCATTGAATCAGAAACAAATTCAGAGAAACATAATAAATGTAGAAGGAAAAAAAATACCTTCAACCATTTGACTGAGAAATTTCTCCCATAATGTGCAGTTCCATGTGCATATTTCCAATTCCCCCCACCAACAGACGCACCAATTTTGGATGTCATCTTTGCACAACCCTATCAACCATGCATGATTTCAGGTTCAGCATTTCAGATAGAGCAAACAAGTGCAACTTGATGCAACTTGGAAACCAAGTAAGCCAAGTAGAAGCCTTTAATCAAAACCAATCCAAAACAATTTTTACAGGGTAAATTGGAGACTCAGACTAATCCAGGTTACCAAATTAAGCAACTAACTGAATTATAAATTCCAAACTTACCTGGAAATGTCTAGTCCGGTTTACCGAGAATATCAAAATCACATTTTCAGCAGAGTCAAAAGCTTCATTCAGTTTAGCTTCATTGCTCCTTTGTGTTGCCCATACTCCTTGTTGCACAGACAACTCCAAATTTTCACGGTTGCAACTCTTAACAATAAAGTACCTAAAGTTCGTATATGGAAGAAAATAAGTTATGTACATTCAAATATGGCAAAGAGAAATTTCCAACCTAATTATAAACAAGAGTACAACTGAAGGAAGCAAAATAACACCCTAGAAGGCCAATAAACAGAAACCATACAAGAATTAGATTAGAAACAAACATAGCAAATTCGTATATTAATAGCCACCAAGAACAGGCTACTGGCAACTTGACACGCAACCGGAGAAACCCCACATACAGCATGCAGAACGTCCTAAACACTGGTGTGAGGACTTCACTGTAACGAGGTCAAGTGGCAGAAAGAAATTCCTACTTACACAAGCCCACATTTGCCAATATGTAGCTAGATAGAAAATGATATCACCATAGGATTTTGTAACTTAAACCATAATGAAACTTTGCATTCTTAGTTAATCAGGATGAAGGAAAAAGCCCCCCTGTAAATCAATTAAATCACTTTCAACTCTTCCAGACAGCTTATTGACAGAAATCAAGGTGCAAAAATAAGTCAGTAAATCAGCATGAAAGATGCATTGCATTATGAAAAATAATTAATGGTGTTCAAAAGGAAACGCATTTTAAAGGCTTGATAATATCAATAATAACTGTATCTTAAATTAAGCAATAAGCTGTGGGGAATTTCAAGCATGCCAACCTAGATAACAACCAACCACTTATATGGGAAGTCAGGGCCAAGCCTGTTCCCAATTATTCTCACTAGTTTCTAGCAATAGTATTGTATACAAGCAGATGGTCAAAACAAAACCTAGTTTTATGAAAACCTAGTTTTATGAGCATTTCAATTAATAGCAAATAAAAATTCTCAAAACTATTGGACCTAATAAACCAGCAATTTCAAAAGCATAATCCTCATAAAACTAACAGAAGATGTTCTTTCTCACTAAAAGCATATCAGCTCTAAACATCCACCCATTCCTTGGATGTCATCACCATACAAGGCAAGCACAAGGACACCTGCAGCCTTGATGAGAGACACATGTAGACCTATGATTCACTGTAAATTAATGGTTGATAGCCATACGAGTTCAAATCACAAGTACAAAGAATAGTTCATTCCTAATACTGGGTTATTTACAGCAAACAAAAAAACTCCTTTTCGTCCTAAAAAAACATTGTCAAACAGAAATGTAGTGTCTCCTCATTAACTTGCCATGTTCTGTCCCAAAAACTCCAAAAAAATGAATAACCAGTCAATCACAAAACCTAAGCCAGATATCTATAAAGTCAAACAGGAAAGAGAATAACAGTTCATTGGTGCAACACATCACGACACCATCCTACACGTCCTCTGCTCTTCATTCAGTGCCTTCCATGAGCAGTTCCTTTGCTGTCTATCCAAGTAGACTCTGGCATAGAGAAAGGAAAGACGAATGATATCTGATTCTAGTATTTACAAACTATGAAGTATGGCCATCAACTAAATGCCGGGTCAACTAGATGATCTAACTTATTGGATTCATATAGTTAAGCCATCCCTGCCTTTTCAGTTATGTCAAACGAAAGGATCCTTCTACACTTTCAGAGGATTATTCCTCAACTTTTAGACTTTTCAATGAAAATTGATCAAAATAACCTCACTGTAACTATGTAAAGGATAAAAGAAACAACTAATTAGATCTGCAACTTACCCAACCTTAAGAAAAGTAGAAGCCTCTATCTTGTATTTGAGTATTTTTATGATTTTTTTTTTTAATTATTATTTCTAAGCCTGAGCCTAGGCCCTGTTTGCATTGATGAAGGCACCTTTTATTAGATAATAAAAGATTTCATAAATGAAAAGAAGAAATTATACACAGAAGAATAAGCCATCCTTCAAACTAAGAAAGAAAGCATTACAAAACTATGAAAGTAAAGCATTCCAATCTCACTTCAGCCAGCTAAAGAAAACCCTCTAAATGCACCTGAAGCAAGAGAAAATATTCTGTCTAAAAAACAATTGTGTTTGTGTAAACTGCACTTAAGAGCTCTAGTATTCCTCTCTAACCAAATATAACAAATCGTCCCACAGGGTGCAGAATGCCTAGTGATTTTACGGTCCTTCCTTTTCTCATAGCCCTCATCGGAAATTGACAATGACAATGACCCAGCAACCTTAATTAGAATAACCCAAGGTTCTCTACTAACTCAAACAATTGATGCCACATCCCATGCAACTCGCCATAACACAGGCACTTTATCATGTATATGAGAAAATTTACTAGAAGGAAAGAGAATATAATTTCATAAGAGATTAGGAAGATAAGATATACTCCTTGAAAGGTGAAACTAAAGACAAGGGAGCATTCCAGTCCCACTGCATGTCAGCTAAAGAGATTCCCCTAAAGGCCTCAGGAGCTAAGCTCCATCACAATGCAAAAAGGACTATCCTATCCGACAAAAGCAATCTTGAATTGGGACAGTCATGAACGTTCTGGAATTCCTTCACATCCAACAAGTCCATATAACTGTTAGTATAGCACTTGTCTGTAAGAACTTGCACCAAAACACACAAACAGTCTAAATCACATACCCTAAGCTATCAGCAGCAGGTAAAAGAAGGTGATTCCAATCATGACAGACAGCAAAATGTCAGGAGAAGAGACTTATGAAGCATCTAACCTGAAACAAGTCCCTAAGACTTAATCACATCAAGTTCCAAATACAAACAAAAGTTCAAAACTCATATGGCACTTTGGCTTTCCAGATATAATTGACAAAAGGACAGCACGAAGGGTTTGAGGACTAGCAAAACTTGCTAGAATTCTCTAGTGTCCACAGCCTATTACGAGACCTCAATGAAAAGATCAGGATGTAAAACAGGCAAACAGGCAACAACAAAAGGAGGTCCTGTGTTTTCCATCCATTGGGATTTCCAATGATCCCAACCAATAGACCCTCCCTCAGTATGAGAGAGGGGGAGGGAGGGGGAACTAATTGGTGCACCATGCAAACTGAGAAGTTGATATACATAAAAAGAAGCTATCAAAAAATGAATGTTCCCTTATCAAGCTCCTCCCATGAATGAATACAAGAAAAATTGTCAACTTTATATCTTAAAAAGGAGAAAAACAAAGAGAAACCTGTGCTATGAACTTCCAAGGACACGCATGCATGATTAGCCATCCTAGCTTTAGAATAACAACCGTCACAGTTGCAGTATATGCCTCTGTGCCAAAAGCAATGAGGTTCAACAGTAAAGCTTCATAGCCATTTTTTCCATTGAAAAAATTTTCTTTCACACAAACTGATCTGTACTAAAAGCCCCTTTAACCTTAGTGCTGCAACACACCTCCCAGCTGACCACATGTTCTCCATAACTGGCATTTTGACAGATCATAACAATCCCCATTGCAAAAAATTGGAATCTTAAAAGAAGAACAATTAAAAAGGGATGCTAGATAAAGAAGCTTGATATGAGTGATCCTACCCACTACATATAAATAAATAAATAAACCTTCCCATCAATCCAAATGCTTAGAAACCTGTTCAGCCAAAGGTGCACAAAGGCTGGAGAGGTTAACTTTGAAAGGCACCCTAAGCACGTCAAATACCAACTTGCATAACCAACCCAGAGGAGGCATAGCCTTCAAGCACATTATACTACTCTTCGACATGAGAATGGCCATCATAATACTCTTTTACACGTTTATCTCAAGCCAGATAGCTTCTCAAAAATCTTCAACATGGAGAACACATTGACAAGCTCCTATGTATCATTTGATAGAAAGAGAACGTTATCATCAATGAACGCAAATGTGTCATTGAAAATATCTTCACAAACTACTAGCAACCCCTCTATAAATCATTCCACAGTAACCAAACAATTAGACAGGAGATAGCCTTTCAGAGGACCTCCTGAACCAAAAAAAAGAACAACTCTTTGGCTCTCTGTTAACCATGATTAAGGAAGTAACACTGGATGGAAAAAGAAATAAAAAATCTATTTCTCAACTTGAGACTAAAGGACTTCCTCCATAAACTCAAAAACTCTAAATTACATAATCATATGCCTTCTCAAAATCCATTGTCAAGGCATCCTCTAGCACCTAATTAGCCACCACAGCGGCATTCTATAATAAATGAACCATGCATATCTCTAGGACCAAAAATTGTATCCGCTATCCACCAACACCACAATAGAGCCTATTTCATAACACCATCAACAAAATCATGTATGAAGCTTTTGACAACATTAATAAGGCCATAAACCCTTACTCTGGCTGATTGATTTTTATTAGGAATCAGCATAATAAAAGTTGAGTACATACTCCTACTATTCTCCCATTAGAGAAGCTACAATTATTTATTCCTTCCTTTTGTTAGTTTAGAAGCTTCGACATCATTTCTCTATCACCCTAGGGTTTTAACGACATTAACTAAGACTTGTTCTAAATCAAGGTTTCTCGTTCCTATTCAGAAAGGTACATCTACTAAATTAAGAACAATTAGACTTATTTAATTATAAAAGAGGCACCTCCTCTGTTTTGGGAATGCTTTTTGATTAGCAAAATCATACATTCCACACACTAAATCTTTATTCTCTTGTTCCAACTTCCAACCTGGAAATCACTGAAATTACAGCTTTGACCTTCACATATACACTGAAAGTCAGACTTAGTTTCCTAGGCTGTGCATCATAATGGTAATTTACTGTGTCATTATTTTGAAGACCATAACCTTGTTGAAGTGAATTTGAATTCTCCACCAAACTATGATGTCTTCTTGACCAGTGAAAATTGGGATTCTCTGCCGATCTATGATGTCTATCCCCAGTATGATGTACTAAAAATCAAGAAGTAAAACAAAAGAACATAAAGCAGCTTGTGAAAAATTCATTAGATTACCCACACTATAACGATCCTTTAAAAAGTCATTAGATTACCACACTATAACAACCCTTTCCCTAATGTATAATGCAGTCTCAATGAAAGGATTCCAGAAAGTTACATGGCAGCAACAAACGTTGATGATGGAAATTAGGGCATTACTTACAATATATTGGCCAAGGAACCAACAGGAGAGACAAATCACAAGCAAATGTTAATAGTTCAACGATTATCATCATAAAATGAGGCTAAGATCTAGGACTCTTATATACTTGATGTACCAAAACAGGGGAAAGTTGCTTTAACCTAGGAACATGATGCAAGAGCTATAGCCAATTAATTCCTATATTTGTTGATTTAGTAGTTTTGATATTGTTCCTTCTTGTTGTGATATAATATCAGGGTATTGAGGTATTAATCTAGATGTGCATATTATTGTAGGTTTCTTACTCCTATTCCTAGTTGTAATTTCATCCCAACTCATTCACGACTATTAGGCTTTTTGGGATGCTTTCTACTTACCGAATCATAAGTTTCTACACCTCCAAAATCTATGTTCACTCATATCAAGTTCATTCTGTCTTAATTTTAGCCACTTTTTTTGTTGTTACTTGTTGCTTCTTATTTTTCCTACATCATTCATTATCTCAACCAAATTCCAAGTGGCATTTTCTCCCATCCATCCCACCTCATTACAAGTCACACAATCAGTGCGATCATCCTAGGATCTTTCAAACTTGGAGTAACAAACCATTACATATGGATCTACTGCTTGAATTTTATTTTCATGTTTAAGAACACATTTCAAATGTTCCCAAGGTTCTGCTTTTTGAGGCCTACACTGCATCGTAGAACCCAATTATCTTCTTTTGTTTACCAAGCAATTGAAAAAGCTGTCTTGAGGAAGCAACCCAACTGAGCCTTAATAACTCTTAGCTGACTCACATGGGGACCTAATCCCTTAACAAAATTTGAAACATGAGCAACTAATTATCCCTCACCTCCTAACCCAAAACAGACCGTAACAAAGATACATGTATATGCACATGCTGACACATGAGAACTTGCACGCAGACATTCATATGACTAAAAGAATTTGTAGATAGATGAGTCAGAGAATGAATAGTTAAGCTTAAATAAATAAAAATACAGAAAATGAAAAAAAAATGGCATTCTCTTTGGGTTGGTTAGGCATGTACTTATTACAGCCATTTGCAACATCAGTTACTTCCATGCATTCATCAAATCCTCTAAGGAACCTTTACTATTTTATTTGATGCAAAGGAAGATTGGTGTCTTGTAGCTTCTTCTTCCCCTTAGCTGTCTGAGTGAAAAGTTGATACTACAGTACATGCTACCTATATACTGTTGCTTAGAAACAGCCAACTTTCAAAACAGAAACATTTTTTTTTTAATTATCAACCATTCACAAAATGCATCAACTCAACAAGTTCAGCATGCATTTGCAAATTCATTTATCACCTTGTGCACATTAGATTTAGAAGTCACATATAGAAGTTTTAAGGTCGGTTGACTGAAAGACAAAAGGAACAAAGATAGAGGTGATTCAATGAAAAAAGTCACACATTCGGCTTAAGTTCATAATGTAGACAACAAATAAGCAGGATTGTTATATTTTTGTGTAACTAACGGGCACAAGATATTTTTGTAATTTCCAGATTCACAGGAAACTATCTAGGTTTCTATTTTATGTTGTGCTAGTTATTGATTTGAAAGAAGTCCTTAATTAAGTAGGTTTAAATAAGAATATTCGTATTTTTTATTCAAGAGTCCAAGTCCTAGGACTAGGAATTTAAATTAGGGATTGACGTAAAAGGGCTTCTAGCTTCACACTAGTTGGTTTTCAATGAGAAGACAGAAAGTCTAAGAATCACACATGATGCAGACAACAAAACAAGAAGGATTGTAGTCTTTTACTGTAACTAATGAACACAAGGGTATTTCTCTAATTCAGATACACTGATAGTTATCTAGGTCTAGGTTTTTATTTTATGTTCACGTGGCTTATTACTCCTTAATTAGGTAGGTTTAAATAGGAATATTTTCTTATTTAAGATTGACGTCCAAGAATTTAACTAGTAATGCCTTAGGTGTATGTGGAGTGTATGAATAGCTATGCTTGTAATGCTTTGACAAGGGAATCAGATTTAAGAGTAACAATTCCAGCAATAACGATCTAATGTTGTTTCATGCAATCAAACTTAGGTTTTGACTCCTAAGAACCTAGGTGTGATGCTTACTTAGGTATTCTATCTTCTAGGTGTGATTCCTAGAATACCTAGCAAAGCAAAAGCTAGTGGCCTTATTACTTTCATACCTATTTAAATTCCAAGCCTTAACTCCCCTTTGTTTATTTTCTAAACTCTTGAATCTCCAATTTCCAGGTCCTAATCCTTTACATAACCCTATCAGAACAGATACTCAAAGATGTTCTGCATTAGTTCTTTGTTACTTGGTACCTATTGGTGGGTGCCAATCATTTTGCACCCACAGCCTAAAATACCATCACCTAGACTAAGTTATCCGATAGCAACAGCTATGCCCCAAGGCATCAAGACATGAAAAGGAGTTGTCCCTGTAGGTGAGGCATTAACTAATAACTCATCATTGTGTTTAACAACACAGAATAATAGACAGAAAGTAGCAAAACATCATTTAACTAAGAAGTAAACAATGCATAAGAAAAAGCAAAGGGAAGCCTGAAAAGCATAAACCAATGAAATATATCGAAAACTTTTTAGACAAACACAATAAGGGGCGTTGATCTTTTGAAACAGTTTTGAGGGCCTTGAGTAAAAGAGAAGTTGTTTGACAAACAGGACTAGACTCTAGAGTAAATTGAACGTTAAGAATAGTTACAGCTGCTCCATGCCTGTTCAAGCAATGATGATTTGTGCTGCGCTCTATGGAACACAAAGAGAGGATGGATGCCTTCATGGCTGAGGCAAACCAAGAGCCATTTCACTTTGGCATCAGTAATTCGATGCACAGGATTAATGCTAGTCAATTATAGGGTTTTGGGACCTTCAAACCAACACATACATATGAACAGTTAGGACAAATTTAATAAATAAAAAACAAAAATGAAAGAAAAGGTTCAGTTGCCTCTCACATTTGAAGTAATAATGGGCTTTATTAGATGATCACAGACTTTTAATACAGAAAGTCTTCCAAGACCGTTGCCCATCTATATGTATAGTTTTTTTAATAACAATAATCAGAATATCCAAGAAAAAGAAAATACAATAATTGATTTACATAACTCAATAAAAGACCTCAGAACTCTGAACACACCTAGATATTCCTTGAGGTAAAGGCGTTGCAAGTCTGTTCAACAGATTAGGCTGTTGCTGGTGCTGGCCATTTGTAAGATTTGGTGCCTGGGTCTGTTGTTGTTGTTGCACGTTTACAGACTCCGTTCCTGAAGGTTTCACGATGGTATTGGGAGATTTTTCTATTTGCTGAGAAAAACCAGCAGTCCGTTGTTGAAAAAATTTGTTAGAGGTTCCATAATTGTAAGAATTCAATTGCTGAATCTTTTGAACAACTTCTTCCACGGGAGGTGGAGGACCAGGCAACTTGGCATGCCTATACCTGCAGTCTGGACCATTCGGACAAAACCCCAACTTGTACCTGCAAAAAAAAAAAAACAAATTGATGAATTCAAAGGATGATGTTATTTATTTATTTATATATTTAATAGAATTGAGTGAGAAAGAGGCTTACGTACATATTGCACTCCTTGATATCCTCATTGGTGTGCTTGTAAACGCAATCCTGCTCCCTGCACTCTCCATAAAGCCTAAAAAACCGACATACAGGCATTCTAGACTTGTCGTATTGGTGAAGGAATCCGCAGGCGTCGCCTTTCATGCAAAGGCTTCGAAGCCAGTGCCGACATACAGTCTGCCGGAAGCTCCGTCGCCCCGCCTGGATGTCCGCCGCACCAGAATTGCTGTTGTTATTGTTGGTGTTGGTGGTGCTCGCGCTGGTGGTTGTGGTGTTGGGGATAGCTGCGGTTGGGATGCCCTGATTGTCGGATGCGATCGCGGGGATGGAGGCGCTAGGATTGGTTAGCCCCGAGTCGAGGCCGCCCTCAAAGTCGAAGCTTAGAACTCCCTCCGGCTCCTCCATGGTATGGCACTGCTGCTGTTGGTGTCTAATTAGGGCTTTTTTTTAATTCTGAGTTATCTAGACCTTTTTTTTTTTTTTTTTTGTTGCCGTTTTCAGATGGTCCAGTCATTTTTTGTCCTTGAATAATTGTAAATTTGTAACTTTGGCACTTTCAACGTGGTGGTTTCAAAATATGCAATGGGATCCTTATACTTATGCGATCGTGGCAGCATCGGTCCTTTCATCCAATTGTGTTAGTATATTTTATTTTGCCGTTAAATTTTGAGCTAAGCGTGTTTGTACGGCACGTTTCACGTCTGATTAAGCTAGTCAGGTTTGACTATTAACCTAATAGAAACATTTTGACTATAAAAATCGTTTTTGACAACACATAGCTGGACACGTACACATTGGGTTGTTAACGTTTTTAAATGATTGGTCTCTCCTCCTTTCTTGACAACGCCTTGCCTGCAATGGGGGTGAAGTAAGTGCGTGGTGATCACGGTGAACCTACAAGCGAAGCTGTTGATTTCGATTGGGGTGTTCGTGGATCTATAGAGGATTTTTATAGGTTTGTTGGGTATTTTGTTGCAGTAGATCTTGTTAGCTTTGATATAGACACGACCATCTAATTGATTTGCAACACCCCCTACCTCTCCATTTTCGAAACTAGATTTCTTTTTTTTTTTTTTTATAACGCGAATGTCCGGATCAGCTTACGTACACTTTGACTAATCCCGCGGATCCTAAAATTAACGACCATGTAAGTCTTCAATGACCACTAAAAAGAGCAATCGTGACTTAAACTCGAGATCACAGGAGAAGCAAACTCCTTGGTACCAAATCCTTGTCGCCGGCCACCCTTAATAATTACGAAACTAGATTTTTTGGTTTGATGGGTTTTTGGAGAAGTGAATGTTGTCAAGATAGACTTAGTCCTACAAGATTTTCTTCTTCCAATAATTTGTCTATTCATGTATCACCACATTATACCCACACAACTCAAAACAAATAAATAAATAATACAAGATAAAATCTTATTTTGAATTTGAAGCTTAATATCTCTAAGAGGTGTCACCTTAACTCCTACAATAGAAACTCAAGTTTCGTTTTGCTTCCAAATTTCATTTTGCATAAAGAGCTTCTTCTTTTTTTGGCTTTTAAGAAATGTATTTTTTAAATATCATATTTGCATTTTATTCTAAAAAAGCAATATCTATGTCAATAGTGAATTGTTGTTCGCCAAAGATAATTGGCATCTTGGTAGCTTTGTGAGTTACCAAAGAGACTTCACCTCCGATGATTGTAATAAAAGCAAGTCGGTCGAATGACTCGTCGTCGCTAACACTATTTAGAATTGCTCTTTTATCTAATAGCGCGTTCAAAGAATATTCATTAAAAAAAAAACTAGAATTTGAATCTCATAGTCACATATGGGATAAGTTTTACTTCTTTAGTTATAAACGTTATTTCAAACGTCAAAAATTGTATCGTTTGTCGGATATTCTTTTAAAAAATATTTTGTTGCAATGCATATCTTTTACAAAATTATTGTAATCTCATGAAAAAGTATATTTCCAAAATTGTTGCAACCTTATGAAAGTATCTTATCATTTTAATATTTTCCGAACCGCCAACATCCTTATAAATTGATAAATTAATTTTTTTAGAGCCTACAATTTATTTTTATTTTTTTTACAAGCAATTTTGGACAATAGAAACTCTAAGCCACTTAAATTAAAGTTGTGTCCTCGCCAAAATGTTCAACAAGTCCTTCATCATAAAGAGTTATACTTTTAAAGAAATTCTTCAATACTAAAAGTTATCTTCTTTCCTCAAACTAAAAATTCATGGCCCTCATCTTTACGTGAGAGGAGAGAGTACAACTCCTATTATATCTAATAATTTCTCTATTACTTATAGATTGACATATAAATTTGTATGAAAAATTATTATGAGATGTTTGTTTGTAAATTCTCTTTGTTTATATTTTATGTTTTACCAACACATGATTTGTACATAAGAGTTAATTATATTGTTAGTTTATCAATTTGTCATTTTTTTTCTAATCAAATATGTGCTCTTTAATCTTTATTGTTTGGGCATACTAAATTGTCATTTTTTTTCAATCAAGTGTTTCCGCCAACTCGTCATTAATTTTATGTTGATGTGATCATTAATTACATGCATGGCATTGACATGGGGACTCCATCGTCAATTTTTTATATATATAAGCTTGTAATTTTTTTGTCTAATTGAATTCGTAAACTTTGATCTTTCCTATTTGAGTGTATCAACTTGTAATTTTTTCTAATTGCATAATTTCGTTAACTCTAAGTTGACGTTTATGTTAATTATATGCATAAAAATGTCATGTGAGTCCATTATCAAGACACATGATAATTAGAAAAAAATATATAACAAAAAATGACTCATTCTCATTCTCATTCTCAAATAACAACAACTAGTTTTTTTTCCCTACGCTACGCCGCAGGTTATATAAAATATATAATATCGTTTAAAAAAATCATTTCAATTTGATAGTTTTTTTATGATATGAATTTATAAAAATATATGCAATCAAAGATGAAAAAATTATTTATAACTTTTTAATCAAAAATTTTGTATTTAACTATTTCTTTTTTTTTCATAAATTTTTCTTTAGAAAAAGGATTTATCATTGTTAATCCATTGATTATTAACTAAAAAAATTAAATAATCTTTTTTTAAAAAAAACTTTAGTATTTCATAAAATTATGTTGAAAAACATAAATAACAATTATTAAAAGCTTATATAAAATTAAAAAAATATTAATGTTAACGAAAATATCGATTTTTAAAAAACGTAAATAATTTTTATATATTTATTTACAAAAAGAAAATAATATTAAAATAAAAAAATATATTAATTTGAATCATTGAGTGGTTAAGCCAAAACATAATTTTAATTATTTAATTTAAAATAATTTAATTTTAAAATATTTAAAAATCAATAAATAAATAGTAAATGTTTAGTGTAGTAGTAGTTACATAGTTAATTTCTAAAAAAACAACAATTCAATATTTTTTTTTATATATACATCATAACTATACTAAATGAGCTCGAGTTTTTAGTCTAAAATAAAAAATATTATTAAAAAAAAAAGTTAACTTGCAAATAATCTATTGACTAAATTTGAAGTTAATAAATTAAAATAAAAATTATTACAAATTTGATTTCGAATAATTTTGATTATATAAAGAAGAAACAAATTGATAAAACATGTGAATTCTTTTTCTTTTTTTCCTCTTTCTTAATTTTTTTTATTTCTATACTATGCATGGCTAATCCTTGAATGTAGGCCTTACGCGTAGAGCAACCATCTTCTTTTTATTTTTCACATTTGACTATCAACTATTAATTAATTAATTTGAGTTTTAAAAAAATGAGAAAAAATTATTTGAAATACACTTTTTAATCTATATATATATCATGCCACTATAATTTAAAAGTTATCTAAATCTATTTTACAAAAGAAAAAATAATTATATTCTAAAAATTTATTCCAAAATCCTACATATAGAAAAATAAATCAAAACTGTCAAGTAAATATAATTTTAAATTAATTGGATGAGAATTTAAAAAAATGACAAATTAAAATAGTAAATTTTAAATAATAACAATTATGAAAAAAAACACTAAAATAAAATGGGATCAAATCTCAATATCATCAAAGTTTGAAATTGAAAAAAAAAAAAGAGGATTTAAAAAAAATGACAAATTAATGTAGTAAATTTTAAATAATATTAAAAAATTGACAAAAAATTATTTGAAACACACTTTTAATCTAAACATATATTTTAGACAAATTATATATATTAATCATGCCATTATAATTTAAAAATTATCTAAATCTATTTTTTAAAAAAATAATCTTGTTCTAAAAATTTATTCTAAAATCCATACATATAGAAAACTAAATCAAAACTCGTCAATAAATATAATTTTAAATTAATTGGATGAGAATTTAAAAAAATGACAAATTAAAGTAGTAAATTTTAAATAATAAAAATAATTAACAAAAAAATACTAAAATAAAATAAGACCAAATCACAATATAATTAAAGTTTGAAATTGAAAAAAATAATAATTTAAACAATGACAAATTAAAGTAGTAAATTTTAAATAATAAAAATAATTAACAAAAAAAACTAAAACAAAATAGGATCGAATGACAATTCAATTAAAGTTTAAAATTAAAAAAAAAGTATAGAAAAATTGAGACCAAAGTGTTACAAAACAACATGAATAGTGAAAAGAATAGTGATTTGTGAATTTGTGAATAGTGATTTATGAGTGTGTGAATGGTGATTTATAAATGTGTGAATAGTGATTTGTAAGTGTGTGAACAATGTTTCAAATAGTGAATAATAGTTTTACTTTAGTTTTGTTGATAATAAAGGCAAATAAATTACATAATACAATAAGATATTTATGAACTTTACATAAAAATATTTATAAAAAAAAACAAATTAGTTAAATATATTCATATGCAAAGAAATGATTGAAAATTAAAACATAAAAACTTAGTTGTTTTTATTCACCAAGACAATGATTAATTCTTATTCTTAGTGAAAAGTTAGGAATGGTGGTTGTTTAGAAGATGAGGATATGAAATTGAGTTTTAATTTGGAGTGAAGGATGACTTGAATTTGGATTGGATAAGATGAGTTGATTAGAAAGTTTCTTATTTAATTTAATATATTTATTAATTGATCCATTTTTACTTTTGTAGTCTTAATTTTTTGGACACAAACATTTGATAATGGAGTTTACATCACAGCTTTACTTGTATAGTTAACAAACACATTAATATTTAATTATTAAAACCACTTAAATAGAAAAAAAATTACAAGGTACACTCAAATAGCAAATATTAAAGCTTACACACTTAAATAGAAAAAAAATGATAAGTTTGTACAACAATAAACTAATGGTGGGGCCCATATATCGATGCCACATGTGTAGTTAATAACCATAT